GATATAGATGGGGATGTTAATAGTAGAATTCAAGTTGATTGGTTGAAGTGGAGGAACGCTTCGGGCCTTTTGTGTGATAGAAAAGTACCGCTAAGACTGAAAGGAAAATTTTATAAGACGGTGGTGAGACCTGCAATGCTCTATGGCGCTGAATGTTGGCCTTTAAAAGAGAAGCATAATAATAAGTTAAGTGTTGCCGAGATGAGAATGATTAGGTGGATGAGTGGCTTTACACTTAGAGACAAAATGCGGAATGAATATATTCGTGATAGGGTTGGTGTAGCTCCTGTGACAGACAAAATTAGAGAAAGTCGTCTTAGATGGTTTGGTCATATTAAACGTCGACTATTAAATGATCCGATTAGGAGAGTAGATGTTTTAAATTTGACTTGTGTTAAGAAAGGCAGAGGTAGACCTAGGAAGACGGGCTTATTGTATTAAAAATGATCTTAATTTACTAGAACTAAATGAAAATATGACACTAAATAGGACGCAATGGAGAAAAAGAATTCATGTAGCCGACTCCACGTAGTGGGATTAAGGCTTTGTTGTTGTTGTTGTTGTTGTTGATGTAAGATTTGCACCCTTCCAGGTTAATGCTCTGTCAGTGAGATGTTCTTTCTTGCTTCAGTTATCTTTAAGCTATCATAAATGAGGAGATCCCACAAACTATAACTAGCAAATGCAATGACAGATATGTAGTTTGTGGAATTTCCATATAGCAATATAAAAACAGAGATTGATGATCTAATTCTTACACTTTTTTTGTCAAAATTGTATCACAAAACAAGTTATCAAGCAAATGTCAAGTTTCATAAAAAATGGAAATAAATTATTTGTTTCCATATTTAATCTGGCAAACATGCTTGTTTGACAACATGGAGCACACAGCTAATTAAGTAAGCATATCATCATTAATATAATTAGAATTAGATTTTGGCCAACCTTATGAATACTCATACTCCGTTAGTTCATATTGACTATCGCATGAGATATTAAACCCGCACACACAAACCATTTTGCAGAACTTCCATTTGTGTTATTTTGCTCTCTCCGTTTTTCTCCCTAATCCTTCAACAATAAACTTGTAAGTTCATTTTTCACCTTTTGTTGTACGCCCAAACAATCTAAATTTATTTTTCACTATCTAATCCTCAACAGATGTTACTCACAACATACCTTTAATACAATCATTTTTTTTAAATTTATCTTTCCTAGGTTTGCCAAATCCGCTTCAACATTCTCATTTGCAACAGACTCAAATATAGATGCCAATTTGATGACTTTATTTTCTCGTTTAAATGGAAAGAAATAAAAAGTAAGGAAAAAAGATACATGTAAAAGAAATCCATTACTTTCGCTCAAAGTTTTTAATCTCCTGTCTATGAAAGAAACAAGAATACATAATGTACCTTTTACATAAATTAAAAGAGAAAAATGTAAGGGAATGCATGTTTACTGAATTCTCAACTTAGCACAAGCATATATGTGTCTATCAATAGGTATGAGAAGAGCATAAAAGAATATAAAATAATTGATATTATACTTACTAATGAGAAAAATATAACAAAAATAAATAGTACAAATTTCAACTATAGATAGTGTATAGAATAATATAGATATGATAACAATATGTCACAAACTCAAAGTGGCATAGAAGAAATCGACTGAAGTTTAAAAGAAAGTCATCTGAGATGAAACCGTAGAATATTTTGTTGCCCGAAAGTTACTTGCGTTGCAAAAAAAGCATGACTGCCCTATTAAAGAGAGTTGGCGAATTTGATTTAAAAACTCGACAATGATAAATGTATTGCAGATAAAATCCAAAAACAGAGATATCGATGGAGGGAGTCAAGAAAGTTATTAGTGGGGAGCATTAATGAAGAGTATACTTGACAAAGAGGTTGATGAAGCAATCACAAAAGTCAATGGTTATTATTGAAGAACAAAAGGGAACATCGTACAAATTTTAAAAAATAGTGAAGGAAATCAAGTGCCCTCGTGATCAATGATAGAGGTTAGAACCTGGAGAGGAAGACAAATTGACAGGATTATGCTGCAAAATATGTTAGAATTAAGAGGCTTCGGGTGTTAGATCTAGAGACATAACTGTAATACCGTATTAGATAGAAGAGGGAATTTTATATCTATCTATCCATCAAAACATGGCTTTCATACTGATTTAATATCTCGTTCTGTAGTGTCATTTTGGTTGTATGTTCATGGAGGCTGCTATTCATTGATTTTTCATTTCGATGTGGCATCTGATTGTCTATTTTTTTGGTAGGGGTGGTTTTGGGGGGAATCAGATATCTGGCTTTATTACTGATTGAATATCATTTGCTGTTTTTTACATATGGCTCTACGTTTTACTGAAGCTTTTTCTCACTAATTTATCATTATGTTGTGGAATCAGTTATTTTGTTTAGCTATTGTGGTAGGGGGTGGTTTTTTGAGAGTACAATATTTAATTAATATTGTGTCCATTTCTGTTAGTTTTCATGGGGCTCATCATATCGATTCAGATTGTAGTAGTGGCATGTTTTGCTTGCCGGTTTGGAGGATTGGTTCTCTCGTAACCAGTCCTTTTGTGGTGGAACTTACTTTGTTGGTTTACTTTTCTCCTCTTAATATAGTAATGATCCTTTGGGGCTATGCTTGCTCCCTCGGTTAATATTACTCTTCTAGAAATCATGAATAAAGGAAATTATTCTTTCAGGCGGTATGTCTTTTGTTTTCTCCTGCAGGTGGCTGGTATAAAGATTTAATATGGAAGATTTGTTTTCTTTCATACTTTATTAATGCTTTATATCATGCAATTTTTATTCTACTGTATTATTGTTTTGGTGGCTGCTTCTATTGGAGGTTCTAAGTTTGCCATGCTCCAGTTCTAAGTGAAACTTAGTTTTAAAGAAGGCTTCTGCCTCAATGACAGTTGGACTAATCCGGCTTTCTTCTTGGAGTGAATCACATCATAGGTATGTTTTTATTTGCAACTTTCTTTGTCTTGTTTGGTTCTCTGTTTCTTTGGTACAAATTCGCAAGCATTTTTTGGGGGAACTTCAGGGCCACAGAAGCTAGAGTATACATTTTGGAGTTTTGGTCTTTTTTGGGTATACTTGTAATCGTTTTGGAGATCCTTTTGCGTCGCGTTATACTTTTGGTGGTGGAACTCATATGAGTACGTGGTGTATTATTTTTTGGTTTTAGTAGTGGGATCCACCTACCACAATCTTGTACCTTTGCTTTGATAGAATAAAATTATCTCTGGATTTCCTTATATAAATATATATATATATATATATAAGCCTCTAAATGAGAAAGAGAAAGGAAATAAGAAATAAAGAAAAAAAAATAAAGACAATATCCTTAATAATGTGAAAATATAACAATAATAAATAATGGAGATACCAAAAATAACTAGTTAGAACTGATGACAATTTAGTAATAATATATTAATAAAGAAAAAAATAAAGACAATATCCTTAATAATGTGAAAATATAACAATAATAAATAATGGAGATTCCAAAATATAATTAGTTAGAACTGATGACAATTTAGTAATAATATATTACAACTAATAAATATGGAATAAGTCATAAGAGCATTTGCATATTTTGAATATATATGCAACTGATAGCATTTGACCAGATGATGCTATTTCTTCAAAAGATTAGAATCCAAATCAACAAAGAGTAGTAGGCTGAAAGAGTTTTCTTAAATAGTAAAATAGATTTTTAAAAACTAAGAAAATTCAATTTAACGAAGACAAACTTTCCTACTCATTGTTTTGCGATAAGAAAAACTTGTGCTGTGTGACAAGCCATGTAACAAGCATAGTATTAAATTATCTGTGATTAATGAGCCAAATTAGCCTGAAAGGTTATCATACCTGGGTTGTATTGATGTGAAGTTTAGGGCCAAGCAATCTAAATTGAAGTGATGGGTAAGATTTCCTTAGTTGAGGGTGCTGATGAACAAGACTTAGTTCCCAGTAAAGTGGTGCCCATTGACGGGGAACTTGGAACTCCAAGAAGTGCTGCAACTCATCAGGATCAGGTTTATCTGATAATGTTGCAAGAACAAAAAATCATGAATAAATGAAATTATTTGAACATGCATAAAGAAGAAAAAAATCTAGAAATTCTTCGTGAATAAAGTAGACATACAGATCCAGTATAAATTAGAAGAAAAAGAAGTCAACCGTTTAGCAGCCAATATCAAGTTTGCTGGGAGATCCCTCTAATAACAATTTAATAAGCAGTAGGAATCAATTTCTTCTTTAGAAGAGGACTTACAACGAAGGTACAAGTTGATTGCATGGCTAAGATAGCCACTTCCTGGGAGGCCAGTTAGAAGAGATGTGATAGGAACAAACTTAAACAGTATCACATCTGGTTTATTATGTACTGTCTGCAGCCATTTGGAGTGGCTGCATAAATATGGATCTCCACCCCTCTTTGAGCAAATTATGGTAAGCCCCTGTTATAAAAAATAATTCTTTTAGAAACTTGAACAACCTGATAAAGGTAGGATAAGTGTACTCACATCTTTGCTAGAACTTTCAGAATGACTGGTCAGCAGAAAGTTGTTAGATTGCAAAATTTTGAAGAACACATCGGGCACCTTCATTAGAAGACTGTTTATCAACAGTAAAGCCAGTTTAAGAAGAGATCAATATGTTAAATAATTTTATTTACCTTGTTCTTTCCTCCTCTAGTCATCTGATTTAAAGGTGAAGTGCCCCTTCCATCAGAAAATAGCAAGTCTCCAAGATCCTCCAGATGCATCTTAACATCTGTGGGTGATACTGTTGAAACATGGTTTTGTTTAACACAAATTACATCTTGACCTCCAAGGCCCATTTCCACAATTATATGAGTCCCATATGTGTGGATAAACCTAGTTTACAAAGCCCTCGTCAACCGAATTAGTAAGAAAGAAATTAGTAGAATGGTGAAGGATGATGACAGCTATCAAAAAACTTTTAACGAACAGGCAGTTCAAGTTTAAAATGTGGAGAAAAACACGCTTTCAAGCACAGTTTGTTTACTCATGATGAAGCTAGATTGTCAAGCACAGTTTGTTTACTCATGATGAAGCTAGATTGTGTTGCTTCTCAACCTCATTTAATAGTTAAGACCTTAGGAATGAGCCTTGTTGCCAGAATTCATTTAAGGTCAAATCTAGAATTAAAATGCTATCGCACCAGGCAGCAATATGAAACAAACAACTAGGTCCAAATGGCAACTTAGTTTGGAAACTCATAACATGTCAGAATTAAGTCATCACTATCACATTCATGATCGAAATATATTCACTGACTAAGAGAAAGAAGATAGCACTTGATGTTTATGCAAAGAAAGAGTACAAAATAGGAGTTTGGCTCCTCTACAAACCTACAGACACTCTTCAAGCTATTCTCTGGTAGTTCCTCCACTCACTAGCTTCAGAGTGAAACACAAACCCCTCGCGCATCTCCCTTTCAGCTCATGGAGGAAATCAAGAACCCTTTATTGTCAAAGTTTTAACACAGCTTTACCTTTTCAGGGCTTAGAAAAAGACGGGCAATCCTTTTCTAGGCTAAAGATGAACTTCCGGAAAAATAAAAGCACAAACATAGTGAAGCAGCTTAGAAACTCTAAAAAAATGCAACTCAAAAAGAGAAAAGATTTTACAATGTCGAACAACAAAACACATTTAGTTTTTTTATTTATTATTATTATTATTTCAAATAAACAGACAAGTTACTAATTCAATGAATATCAAGAGAGAGGGCTGCTAAAACGCATTCCAGGTGAAAAAGTAATCTCAAATGAACGACGAATAATTTTTTACTAGCAGCAACAAGAGAATAAGAGTCTATGAAAGAAAGAAGATTTCCACAAATATTTACAATTGAGAATGTTAGGGCCATGTAAATATGGATAGCTTTGCAAAAAACAAACATAGATAAATTATTTTTTGCGCTTGCTTTAAATTAAGAGGAGGGGGTGAATGGGGGGAGAGAGAGAGAGAGAGCGAAAGAGGGAACACAAAAAGCAACTAAACAGCATAAGTTGCCAAGCTCATGATTCTCAGAAGAAATCGCTAAGGAAATAAATATAAATTAAAATGTGATCTTAGAAGAAAAACATGAAAATCTTACTAGTATCACCACGAGACTACGTTTATACGAATGAAAGAAGAATTCCACAAAGGTTTGATTGAAGCCTGTGGGGATGACCTAATATATCTCAAATATGATCAGTTTGCTGAAAGAAAATATTACATAAATATTTCTTAACGCTTTCTTCAAAATATCAGATCATACTTAACAGAGAAACAAGGGAGAGAGATTACGGTTACTATAGAGGGAAATATCATTTTTATTCTAATCAATCAGAAACTAAGGGAAAGAAAGAAAGTCAATATTAGCTTTCAAACACAATAGCAAAGAATCTGAAATGAAAAATGAAAATTGACTCTTCGGATATTCCTGTCCTACACAGCATGAGTTTTACAGTAAAAGAAAAACAAATTCAGAAAGAAAGCAAGAAGAAGTTCAAGGTTTTACATAGGAAGAACTAGCTTAATCAGGTTATTTGAAACTAATTATCGTAACCAAAAAGAGCCTTAATCGTTTACATGCGAGAGCAAGTCAGTTTCAATGGTTAGTTTGAAACTGGATGGAGAACATGGTTGACCATGAATAGGTATAAGGAAAAAACCTAAAGAAAATCAGATATCCAAAAACAAGGAATCAGGTTCTGACGACTTGGGTATTAAAAGTGAACATGATCCAGCTAGCTTGCAGGGCCCGACAGTTCTATCTGTTAGTTTTTTGCATATTTGAAACTAGATGGTAATTCGGCCCATCCTATCTAGTGGCACCACAAAAATTGTTGAATAATTTAAAAAATGTTTCAAAATAGTTGAAAATAAACAGAAGAGACAATCAGTATTTTTTCTCATGCTAATGAGAAGAATCAAGCGCAGTTTATATATAAGATATAATAACCCAAGAAAGGGTGAAAAAAATAAAAATAAAAGAAAATGGGTATAAAAAAATAGCATAATATCATTATCCTTTTAACAAAAGTAACTAACAATTTAGAATCATGTGTTTCTTTGCTTGGACTGGCAACAGTGGGCTGTGTCCGATCCATGCATGGATGGCAGTTGGAATTCTGGAAATCAAGACCTAATTGGTGCAGATTTGTTGTTCTCGCCTATGCAAATTCCAAGAATGAGCTCTTGATTGATAGAAGGTATACATTTTCTTCTTTACTGTTGCCTACCCTTTAACTTTAATCCAGTATTGCTTTCTTTTCTAGGAAATACAGCTCTTTATAATAGTCAATAAGATTATCATCCAACCACCCGCTTGACTTGGCTTAGAATTTCCATTGTCCTCCCCTCAACCAGGAATTAAGGGTGTCAAAAACTGACCAGACACAACAAGTAGACCCAAAAAATCCGGTTTAGATAGAAGAAATTACTACTCATGTTAGGTTTAGGTCAAAACTATAGAGCGATTATTATTATTGTTGGGTTTGAGTAAACTCAAAATCTCAAATAAGCAAAACTTGATCTGATTACTATTCAGGTTTAGGTTAGGCATGCTATGGTCAGGATAAGCAAGATATATTCCTTTTAATCGGTCAGGTCGAACCAAAAAAATTTTATAATCTATATAAGAAAGAAGTTAGATAAGTTAGATTCCGGCAGGTTTAAGCCAAGTCAAATATTTTAACAAATATAATAGAAAGGTCAAGTTCGGATCAAGCACATTTAGGTTGTGAACTTTGGATCAAACCCAAACCTGCTGTCAACTCAAATTGGCACCGCTACCTATTGTCACGACCTAGCCCAGATGCTTAGAATTACTAAGTCGGAAATAAATGATTGAAGGGTCTAATGTCTAAAAAATAAATTTAAGTCAATATCAAAATAAAATATGAGAACATTCTATTAATATCAAAATCCAAAAGCAACAAAAGAGCCATAAACTAAGAGGTTTAAATTGCAGATGTAATAACGATAGTAGAAAGGGTACCTTTCTCATGTAAGGCCACATTTTGTTCATAGTTTCTCTTCTACCACTCATTTAGTTCTCTAAATGTAATCTTAAATTATTAATTTAAAAAAATGAGTTATCAATGAATACAATGGATTAATCATACTTCTAATTTATAATAGGTCAAAAAAATAATAATGCATGTTAGTCGTCATTTTAAACTATAAAAAAAATCATATAAAATATTGATATTTAAACAGCAATTACGATCATTGATGCAGCTTAATTATTGTGAAATCATTATATTTATCATTTATGAATGGTTTAAATATATAATGAGCTTATCATGTCTTATATTTTATTAATATAATAATGCATCCATCTCAGGAGCATTATTATATACATAACCTCTCACCCCTGGCAAATATGTTCCCCCTTAGCACGGTCGCGAGTCGAGCAAGTCCGCTATTAATTGAGGTGGAGAGATACCAACTCACCAAGGCCAATAAATCCCCCGCTAGCAAAACAGAGCAGTAAGTCTTATCTCTACTATTGTCTATAGTAGAAAGTTAAGTTATTAACACTAAGGGTGTAAACAAACTGAACACGAATGAACAAAGCCCGTATTCATGTTCGGTTCGTTTGAAATTACGTGTGCTTGAAATAGGTTCGCGTTTGAAATTATTCGTGAAGTTACTGTTCGTGTTCGGTTTGATTTATATGAAATATGTTTGAAATATTTCAAATGTTCAAATTGTTCAAATTCTTTGAAATATTCAAATTGTTTGAATTGTTCGAAATCATACAAATTTGTTTGAATTATTTGAAATCTTTTAAAATCTTAAACTTATATAAAATTAATGTTTAAACATATATGAATCACAGCACAAATGCAAAATAGTTGAAACACAACTCAAAATAAAATCCTAATATCATATCTCATCCATAAAAAAATCAAATCTAGAGACAATATGTGAGATTTCACTTCCAAAAACTAGGTTTCACTCAATGAAACTAAATAAATTTAAAAGAAATATAAGAATTTTTAAGCTAAGAGAAGAACCTGAAGATAAATAGGAAATTATATAATTTAATATAAGCTAAGAGACGAACTTGAAGATCAAATTATAATTTATAGAATTTAATCTTTTAAAATATGATAAATTTTTAGAATATATAATTATTTTTAAAATATGATTAATTTTCATATATAATTATTTTAAATTATTTTATATTTCGAACAATAACGAGTCGAACAAGATCGAACAAATGATTGTTCGTGTTTGGTTCGTTTATAAACTGAACGAAAAAAAATTATTCGTGTTTGTCTCGTTTGTTTATCGAACAATCAAACACAAACTCCCCGACGAGCCGAACACAAACTGTTTGCGAACAACGAGCTTTTTTAACAGACCTAATCAACACACGAATACATTAGAATCCCCAAATAATATCACAAAGATGTAAATTTCATCTATCAATATACATATAAAAGCAGACATATACGCATCATGTTCTTTGCATTACTTTTAGCATACAAGATGTTTCCTTGGAATGTTATTGTATGGTACAAAATAAATAATCATGAAGTAGTATTAAGTCATGCATTTTATTTTTAATAATATGACAGATCTTTTTTAATAAAAAAGATAAATTATTTTACTTACAAAATAAATTTGTTATCATATATTATATCAGTACAAAAAAATTGAGTATAGATATATTCATCAAATGTAATAAAATTAAAAGAAAAAATACTACTCCAACTTAAAAATGTAATTACCACAACCAATACCTTATGTTTAGAAGAGCCAGCTTGCTTTTTTATTAATTTGCCCACATTTTGACACCGATTCAACCAAAAATATACACAACGTTAGATGCATCATTTGAGTCATACAAC